GTGCCACTTTCACAGTGTAATTCCATAGACTTGATGTTCTGGCACCTGCAGATAGACATCCAGGTTCCAGCATCATTCACCTTCTGCTCATCTAATGGGCAGCAGAGCACATTATACAAAGATGAGTTATAGTGCAGATATAACCTAATGATCTGGAAAGATATTAGATTTTGATGGCTAGATTTCTACAGAAATCCCTTGCAGTGTTGATGATAGTAGGAGAAAGCATCTGTGACAAGAAATACGACAGCAAACCAGACTGTTAGAAAAATGCAGGACTGATGGGAACAGCCCAGTTCCTTTAAAAGAAGGGTCCAAAGAAAAACTCATCCCAAGAGGGTTGAACATTTTTTCTATATATAGGGCTTGTTCTTGAATCACAGCAGTTGCTCAAATTCTTTAATTATAGCTGCCTCCTCCTCTTCCTCTTCTTTTCATATTACTTATCTGGAGTTTCTGGAGTTCTTGTGAGCTCACCTAAGTGGTTCATCCCCACCCATGGGACGACACCTGACATTTGCTGAAACTTTTAAGCCTCAAGAGAATGTTTTTAAAGCTGCCCCTCCATTTCTAGATGGTATCTAAGGATGTGTCAGATTCATAATGTACAAAATCTTCCGAAGCATTTTTTCCCCTTCATATTCAAGTTGTGAATTTCTACGGAAAATCCATCTGGCTGTTAACATTCCCCGTAGGCCATTTTCCATAGTCCTTCTTTCCATGTGGTCAATTGCTCACTTCAGTTAAAAGGTTTGGATGTATTTTGCTTCATCAATGCAAAACGTGGAACTTCAAAGGAATGTAGTTCTCTGCTTTCAGGCGGAAGATCCCAAATGTACCCCCTGATGTCTCCAATAAAAATGCTCACGAAGAATAGACAATGAGAAAAAACTCTGAGATCTGGACAACTGCTGCCAGACCAGAGGTGGGCTAGATGGACCAGTGGTGTAAGGCAGCTTCCCACCTTCTTATGATTTGTAACCTTAAGGATGTGTAAAGCTTTAGTACTCCCATGCAGACTCTGGTCAGAACTCAGTCATGGGGGGCAGGGAGGGTGTTCTGAGCTTACAGATGCCTAAAATACCATAAGGATTCTGGTAGCTGGGAACAAGACTGCAAGCACATAGTAATCAGAAATAGTGGTGTAACAGAAGGGAAAGCTGTTTTCCAAGACTTTTGTAAAACAGGAGCTAGGAGGTCATCTGGTGGAATACCAAAGTAACTGATTTCCCTCCTCTGTATGAAGTAAGAGCAAGGCTTCCAAGGTTCCTTGTGACATATCTGGGAAAGCAGAAAAGGAGGAAAATAATCAAGCAGAGGCTAGATCTTTCTCTTTTCTTTTCTTTGATGGGTTCTCTAGACCAGTGTTTCTCAACCTTAGCAACTTTAAGTTGTGTCGACTTTAACTCCCAGAATTCCCCAGCCAGCATCCTGACATTCTAATTAGTGAGTCTACTGAAATATAGAGTGAAGATATTTTTTTCTCAAATGTACATGTGTTTAAGAAGTTGAATTAGATGCATTTAAAGCCCCATAAATTTAATTATGGGGCTCTATGAGCGCCCCCCCCCCCAGTGATTATCACCTTGATGTGATGGGAGAGCTCAGTAGCTTCATTGACTCTGAGAATAGCAGAGGAACTTAGATCTCCTGGTAGGGTCACTCTTGAGGCTAAATTTAAAAGGAGATTATTAAAGCTAAAGGTAGTCTACAATGGCTATGAGGGAAGCCAATCCACCTAGGAAAAGATATTTCTGTATTGTTGCCAATAAATAGTTTCTCAGCCTTCAAATGTCTTCCACTCAATCCTGGAATTAGCTGTTTTGGTGGTGAAAATAATGCATGAAAGTTCAGCCAGTCAGAATTCCTTCACCACTGGATTTGTGTTTTTAGAGATCAGGTCTACGGCCAAGATTCTGTGGCAGAGCAGGAGAACCAGCAGTGTCTGTCACCAGAGTGCCATGTGTTGCTAATAAAACTGTATGGATGTGGCTTTTTTCACTGGGAGCCATCCATAAGGGTCCAAATAAATGTGAAATAAGATTTTGGAATTAACTATAAAAATCCTTCCCATGGGAAAAAGCTTATTTTCAATTCTTTAAAAAAAAATAATAGGATGAGACTTTGAAGGTTGGACACTAGAGGGAACTAGAAGGAACTAACGACTACAATTAAAGGAGAAGAACATTTAAATTTGCCTTACTAATACAGAATGGAGCAAAATATTTAACATTGGCCATATTGAAAGATATTTTTGAACAATGGACCCAGAAGTTAATTTTAAGAGTACCTGCCTCTATAGATAGACTGTTTAAAAGATGTTATGGAAGTAGAACAAGTTTTATCAGACAAGGCTGAAACTGATCTGAAAGTGGATATGGAAAAAATGCTACACTGGACATACAAAAAACAAACAAACAAAAAAACGGCTGATGTCATAATAATTAAAAGGGATATATAAATAACAAACCAAGAGAGTGACCTGGATAATTTCCCTATATTAGATTTACAAAAGAGGCTTGTTAAAGTGTTTTAAAAATACCTAAAATTTAGTCAAGGGGAGCGAGGGCAGGGGCTAATGCTGAGACCACCAGATCAGAAGACACTCTTCTTGATATTGGGATCACTCCTGATCCACTGAGAAGGTAGCCTGAACTCATATTTTCCTGCTCCAGTTTTCCAGCTTATTCTGCCCCAAGCTATGGTCTACTTCTCTGGCATCAGGTCTTGGATCCTGTGGGATTGAAGAACAGTCAGCAGAAGACTCACTTCCCCTCAGCTTTACCTGCCAGCCATGGCAAATTCAGTAGGATGAAAGAAGTGGCAGAAAACAGTGCCTTTGATGCCACTTGTCTGATCCCACAGAATGGAGGGAATGGAGAAATGACAGGAGAACTATGAATCAGGTCTACTAATTCCTGGTCCCAAACAAGGCTTTCTCCACCCTGCCTCTCATGCCCCTACCTCCCATGTGGATAGAAGCCCTCTTCTGCTAATAGAAGCATATCCAGTGGGAGACAGAGGGACAAGTCCACTTTTGGGGCACAAACCAACTCACTAGACCAGATTTGTACCCCACCGCAGAGATACAAAGAGAAAGTAAGGACTAACTACTGGCCATGATGGGCCACTTTTTCATATTTCCCATCTTAGTCTGCCTGGATGCCAACACATTCCTTTAAGGAGTTAAGGGAATTTCTGCTGGCTGATAAATTCATAAACGGATATATATGGCATTATATGCTTCCCTCATTGGAAGACCTGAAAGACCAGGTTAGAAACAGATCATGATGGAAAAAATCTGTGTGGTTGCTAAGAGTTGACAACAACTTGATGGCACGTAAGCAAGCAAGCAGGGGACGTGGTGGCGCAGCGGCTTAATGACGCTGAAAGTTGCCGGCCAGAAATGGTCGACGCTTCAGCGGGTCGAGTCCGGCCCTCGCGGTTGGAGGGGGGGCGCCCGGT